TTAGCGTGTGGTGGAGGAGGCCTCTGGGGAATTGCCGTGGTGAGGGGTACGGTGCCCGAGGTCTGTCCAGAGGTGGCGGGGTGGTGGTGGTGGTGGTGGTGGTGGTGTGTGTGCTCAGAGAAAATGGCGTCTGTAAACCAGAGTGGATGAATCGGTGGGTTTCTAGAGACTGAGTTGCGTTTTGAACAACGAATTGGAGTTAGCAGAAAATAAAAGAAGACACGAAGAAGGAAGAAAAGCAGAAAGTGGGGTGGGGACAGCTGGCCAGGCGGAAAGAACAGCCTGTCCAGAGGCAGGCAGGTGTGCAGTGGTGTGCTGTGGGTGGGTACCTGTGCCTCGCCTCGGAGATTAGCGGGTGGTCGTGAAAGGGTCTGCTGGGCTAGCCACGGGGTTTGAACTTGACCTTGAAGGTCACCGGGCAGTTATTGAAGGATGTTCGGCAGGGAGATGACATCTTGGGGTGTGTGCTCTGGAGCCATTCTCGCCTTGGGGTGGGGAGTGGATTGGATTCAGGCCCAGAGATCAGTTAGCAGCCCTCCCAGTCCTGTGGGGCCAGTGACACTTGACCCAAAGGCGTAGCAGAAGAGAGCAGGGTGTGGGCTCCAAGGAGGTGGGTGTGGAGGACGTGGTCAGTGTAGACTGGGGTGGTGATTCATAGAGAGAAGTCTGGGGTCACGGGGTTTTTGGCTGGGCTTGCTGGGGATGAGGTGGGGAACAGGTGATGTAGGAAGGGTGGGACGTGGAAGTAGAGCCGTGTAGGCGAGAGGCTGGGTACATGGCGAGAGGCCAGGGCCGGCCGGGCTTGAGGTAGAATCATCAGCTCCTGCTGCGGTTTGAACCGTGTTGGGTTGAGGTCACCCTGGAATTGCATCTAGGTGTGCAGAGGAGCAGCCTGGATGGTTCTTGGGGACACTGCGGCATTTAAGAGAACAACAGGGAGGAAGGAAGTTCGCCGTCCACAGAAGGAAGAGTGACATCTAGCACTCTAACCGGGTTAGAGAGCTTCAGGGCGGGAAAGAGGGTTGGGGTCTGAGCACCGTGCTTACATGTGAGTGTGCATCTAACTGCATCGGGATGTTTGTAGACATCATCCCCCCCAGAATGGCTTTACAGTATGCATCCAACACACCCTTCTCCCCAAAGATTAACGATCAGACTTAATGCGTAGTCACAAGGGTAAAATCTGGGAATTCCAACGCACTGAGATGAGAGAGGGGATTCTGTACAAGTCTGTGCCTTCCATTCCTGTAGTACTAGGACATTTTTAGGTCACTCCGCAGTTTGCTGAAAAATTACAGTGTTAAGAGTGTTTTCTATTGGGTTCTTAATCATTTTTACTTAAAAAAAAACAACAACAAAAAAAAACAACCACCAAACAAAACACACCCATATACAGTTGGTTAACCTTTTCTTAGTGCTGATGTTTGTATGAAGACCTCGGTGCTTTGGGTTTATAAGCATTTCCCTTTCTTCTCCCTCTCTCTCTCTCTCTCTCTTATTGTTGATGCTATTTACCGATATTTTCCCCTCTATGTAATAATACTTTACATAGAAAAGTATTACTACTACTTTCTATTCATGTAGCACCTAATGGAAAATTTCCCAGTGTTTTCACCAGTATTTTATAATCTGATTCTCCTCGTAGACAGCTGAGGTAGGATGGACAGCCATTATTCCCATTTTCCAGATGCGGAAACAGAGGTTCGGTGAATATGCTCATCCTTTGGGAAGTGGGTGACAGAATTTCCCCCGAGGCTCGTGACCATAATTTCAGGGCTCTCCCCATGACGGGGGACTTGTGACTCAGTGCTTATATGGTAACAACTATAAGTAACAAACAAATAGGGAAAATGAGCCCTAATTTTTTCCTTCATCATGCACTACTATGCTGAGTGGTCCGAGGTATAAGATGCTGTGGATTTTACAGCTTAAGTTCAGAAACATTTAAAAAAATATTTTTTGATTTTTTACAGAGAGGAAGGGAGAGGGATAGAGAGATAGAAACATCAATGAGAGAGAAACATCAATCAGCTGCCTCCTGCACACCTCCTACTGGGGATGTGCCTGCAACCTAGGTACATGTCCTTGACCAGAATCGAACCTGGGACCCTTCAGTCTGCAGGCCGATACCTACCACTGAGCCAAACCGGTTAGGGCAGAAACCTTTTTTTAAATCACAATTTTGTAGCCAATTGATGAATGTGTTTTTCTAGTTTTTGTTTTTGTTTAATCAACTTAAGGGCCATTGGTTCAGCGGCAGGTGCCCGACTCCTGTTCACGTGGAACATGGAGCTGTTGGAAACAGTTAATTTCCCGTTGGGTCTATTTAAGGACGTCTGCCTCTCCGTGGAAAAACCGCGGCCAGCACCCTGAGAGGGAGCGTGGCTCCCCTGTGACCTGATGACTAGGATCCTCCAGTTCAAAGCGGGGTCATCCCCTTGTCAGCTGTGGGCAGCCTCCTTTCCCAATTCCCCCCGGCCCCCACCCCGCCTCGGGCCCACAGTGCTTTTCAGAGCCCGTGGAAATGGTCTAACTTTAATTTTTTATCACTTAAAAATACACATTTTATTGACTTCAGAGAAGAAGGGAGAAGGAGAGAGAGAGAAACATCAGTGATGAGAGAGAACTATTAATCGGCTGCCTCCTGCACGCCTCACACTGGGGATTGAGCCTGCAACCTGGGCGTCTCAGCTGGGAATCGAACCAAGACTTCCTGGTTCCTAGATCGAAGCTCAACCTCGGGGTCATGCTTGCTGGGCTGTTTAAAAAAATTTTTTTTTTTAATCAGTAAGATAAAATGAACTTTGAGGTCCAAGGAAAGGTTTTTTATATAGAATAGTAACATATTCATCTTTATGCCAGTAAGGTCATGCAGTCTGGTTTTGAACATGTTTTTTTGAGAAGGGCCCAGGGATGTCAGAATGCAGCTGAGTGTGTGGCGTGTCCGGAGGGAGAAATAAATGCTCTGGCCTCCTGTTCCGGGCCTGTTTGTCCTGTGTTCGTCGACTTCCTCTAAGGCTGTGGATGTGTGAAAAGTACTCCAGGAAAATGAGTCAGTCTCTCCTCTCCATATCTCTCCGCCAACGCGCGCGCGTGCACACACACACACACACACGTGAAATGTGGACAGACGGAGGGCTGGCTCCCTGGGTTTTGTTTCCGTTCCCATCTCGGGGCAGGCGGTCCTTTATCACGCAGCGTGTGGGATCCTTTAACACGACCTGCGTGGTTCAGGGCCCACTCACGGACCTGTTTCTGGAGGAGGCCGCACACTAAAATGAAGAGAGAAACTGGAAAAGAGTTAATTTGGGAAAATGGGGGGCCAGGCGAGAGTCAACCTCTAGTGGGGAGACTTCCACCAAGCTCTGGCCTTGCTACCCCTGTTATTGAGGCTGTGGGATACACCCAGCACCCTTAAGCAGCTTTGGGAGACACCCACAGCCCTTAGGCAGGTAATAAGCGGATTATCATCTCAGTAAGGATTTACATGATTACAAGATGGGGAAGTTGCCTCAGTTACCATTGTCTCAATTAGATAGGGAGTGGTTGGCTCTGACCTGTCAGAGCTTCAAGGTTGACCAGCCTTTTATGGATACATCTTCCTATTAGTGAGACAAGGATTGGCTTCTGGCACTCACGCTCTACGGAATGGGGGCGGTTGCTTACCAGTTGTTGCTGTCGTGCCCCTAACATTTAGAAAGTGCTTTTGAGAAATAATAGCCAACACATTTAGAGCATCACTATATTGTGACCTTGTTTTTTGATTTCCTCTCTGCCGTCGAATGACACTAAAAATACACGAAAACCTGTTAGAATAAGACTTTTTGGCACATTAACTCAGGGTCCTTACCTACTGAGGACGCTGGGCGGGAGGCCTCAGATGCAGGGACCAAGGGCGTTGTCTGAGAAGGGGAAGCCCGGGAGGTGACGGAGGTTGTTTTCAGGGAATGTGGACTGTTTCTCTCCTTTCTAGAACCCTCTGTGTGGAGATTCTCATTTTGGTATCTGCACAATAGGGTGGAGTGGCTCTGTCCAGAAAACCCCATAATCTTTCTTCCGCTTCTGCCTGCCTCTCCCAAGTGCCGAAGCAAAGCAGCAAGAAATGGCATATGTTTCCGCCTTGGCAGCCCCTTTTTCTAACCCGAAAGTTAAAATACTGAAAATTAAATTCCACAGACAAATTTATAATCGCCAAGTGAATAAATTACACTTTAAAAAAGTCATCATGCAAGCCATAATACATTTTTGTTTTCATATATATATATATATATATATATATATTGAAAATATATTTTTACTTATTTCAGAGAGGAAGGGAGAGGAAGAGAGAGCTAGAAACATCAATGATGAGAGAGAAACATGGGTTGGCTGCCTCCTGCACGCCCCACACTGGGGATGGAGCCCACAACCCGGGCCTGTGCCCTGACTGGGAATGGAACTGGGACCTCCTGGTTCACAGTCTGATGCTCTACCACTGAGCCACGCGGCCCGGCACCAGTAACATATTTTAAAATGAAGCTTCTCCCCATGAAGCTGCGGTGCATACACAGACTCATTGTCAGCTCTCCCTGCTTGCTTTTCACACGACCTTTGCTGCTCTTTCTGACCTGTGTTCTGGGAAGTGATGGGTCGGGCAGGGCCTGTACTTTTGAGAGAGACGAAGGAAGGAAGACACCAGAGAAACACGTGAACCTGCTTTGCATGAGTTAAAATGAAGACCCCATTTGAAGGTAGACATTCTTGACAGTCTTCACCTAACCTTTGAGACTGCAGCAGCGCACCCAGCATGGTATGGCATTTTTTTAAAAATTACGTTTTGTGGCAAGAGTTCTGTTTTTGGGAGCTTCTGTGGTGCCTGATTCATTCACTTCTCGTTTTTTTAGAATCACAACCATGTTGGTCAGAGCTCATTTCCGCTCTGTCCTCACACAGTCACTCCTCTCCTCTCTCCCCGGTCCTCCTCGCGGTCCTGAAACTCTTTGTTTGTGATGCCCTTACAGGAGTTTGTGAGCGTCTGGGTTCGAGACCCTAGGATTCAGAAGGAGGACTTCTGGCATTCCTACATCGACTATGAAATCTGTATTCACGTGAGTACGCAGTCACTAGCCATTTTTGGTAGCGTATGTTTGGTGGGATGCTTTGATATACTTACAAAGGAAAGCTTTCTGAGTTCAAAGAACTGAAATTTCATGATCACAACTAATGCTTGTACCTTAAGGGAAGTAATAAGATGGTTCCTAAAGTTGAAAAATTTCTTACTTGAGTTCCTCATTATACCTTTGTTAATATTAATACTTCATGAAGATGTGAATATTTCTAAAATGCACAGTTAAACAATATTTATACCTCGTTAATGGTATTTATGATCGGGGGGTAGCCTATTTCCAGGTAGTAAGCATAGCGCTTGATAAATCTGTTGAGAGAGGCTGTAGGGCTCTCTGGAGAGGAGATGTGCTGTGGTTCGTATGTGGAGTAAGAAAGTCGGAAATGGATATTTGCAATTACGGACTAGATTCCGAGTAATCAACGCAGTAGCCAGCAGGGATGTTCTTTATTTGGAAATAGTGCTCTGTCACAATCTCTTGAGCAATGTCATGGCAGTTTCTTGCCCTGGCATGTGTGTGGCTCAGTTGGTTGGGAGTTCCCTGTGAAGGGCAGACAGCACACATGTTCAGCTCTGAGGGCCCCGCCGTCCCCCTCGACACTCCTCGGTTCTGCTCTTGGAGGGAAGCAGCCTAAACAAGGCACGGATGGATGCATGAGTGCAGTTACGTTCCAGTGACACGTGGTGTGAGAAGACAGTGGCAGGCCAGGTGTCAGAGTTGTATGGCCCTGATCACGAATGAGTCACGTTCCCCACCTGGTTTAGTCTGGGCTTTTCTCAGGAGCAGAGCAACAGGCCCAGGTGGTGTCTCTGTGATGGCACAGCACAAGTGAAGTAACATTTGACCGCCTTCACCCTTCCCATGGCAAGTAGCTAAATTGGTTTGCAGTATTGGACATGCAGTCACTAGTCATACACATTCCTTCCTTCCTCCCTTTTTTTTTTTTTTAAATGTATTTTATTGATTTTTTTACAGAGAGGAGGAGAGAGGGATAGAGAGCTAGAAATGTCGATGAGAGAGAAACATCGATCAGCTGCCTCTTGCACACCCCCTACCGGGGATGTGCCCACAACCAAGGTACATGCCCTTGACCGGAATTGAACCTGGGACCTTTCAGTCCACAGACCGACGTTCTACCACTGAGCCAAACCGGTTTCGGCCCTTCCTCCCTTTTCCCCCAAGTTTTCCCAACTTAGAAAAACAATGTAAAAACTCAGAACTGCTTATTTTATTTTACTTATTTATGTTAAATCCTCATCCAAGGATATTTTCCCCCATTGATTTCTGAATAGAGTGGAAGAAAGGGAGAGAGAAAGAGAAAGAGGAACATCGACGTGAGAGAGACACATGGATTGGTTGCCTCCTGCACACCCCTGGGAAACCTGCACCTGCCACCTAGATACATGCCCTTGACCAGGAATCAAACCTGCGCCCCTTTGGCTCACAGGCCGATGCTCTAATCACTGAGGAAAACCAGCCAAGGCCAGACTGCGTTTTTGACGATTGTGCTGATGGCCAGGTTATACTTTGTATTTTGATATTGTTTTGGTTTTGCTCATTAAGTCTTACCAGATGTAAATTCTGTGTGGGAAATTACAATTAAGCCTTTGAAAATGAAGTGAAATCCTTGCCCTGGCATGTGTGTGGCTCAATTGACTGGGTGTCATCCTGTGAAACGAAAGGTTGCCAATTTGATTCCAGTCTCAGGGCTCATGCCTGGGGTATGGGCTTCGTCCCTGGTCGGGATGTGTGCAGGAGGCATCCGATTGATGTTCCACTGTCACATCGATGTTTCTCTCCCTCTCCCTTAAAAAAAAGAAAAAAAAGAAAAGAAAGAAAACGGAATTAAATTCTTCAGTTGCCTTTAGCTTCCTCTAAAACATTTGTGGGTCCTCGTTACATGCTTCATGGTAGGTGTGAAATTTGATTCTCTTCAGGGAGTTAATGATGTGAATTCAGAAATGTCCACCTTGAGCCAGAAATGGTGCATGCCGCAAATATTGGGTGGTGTTCTGGTGTTTCTCTGAAATGCTACTACACTGACAATGTAGAAATCTTGGCTTGGTAGATAGCTGACACAAGCAAATCAATTTAGAGGAACTTGGTGAGCTAGTGATCTCGGTGCCAGCTGATTCTGTTGTACAATCCAGAGTCGATGGGGGACGGGAGAGTCCTAGTCAGCTTTCCTCGATGGGGTACCATAGAGCTTCGTGGTAGAGAAGCCAGCCTTGAGCTCATTTAAATCAATCGTAAGGGAAATTATATCCGGCGACTCTGAAATCTGAGCATTTACTTGACATTTTGTTTATTTATATTTTATATTTTTTTACTTAGCATTTTAAACAAGTGGACTATAGAGGTGGGTAGTCTATGGTATACATTCTCCTGAACTTGTTCTGCAAACAAAGGACTTCGAGGTAGACAGAGCTTTGGTGCAGGCACCTGCTGGATCTCAGTGGTTGGCATCCACCATGAATCTGAGCGGAGAAAAGGAAGGGAGTTGAAACTGAGTCCGTGTGGGTCTGAGGCGGAGTCCCTCACTGGCTGATCCCTGCCCAGGCTCCTCAGGGCTCATTCTGCTGTAAATGCCCGCTTTCTTCCTCCCCAAGGATCACTCAGCGCGAGGCCCTGGTGTGCTGTGAAATGCACACACAGAATGTTCTGGTGCCACAGACTCCAGCATGTTCGGCTGCTCTGGTGTCAAAGATGAAGGGATTTAGACCAATCTTTCGTTTGGGGGCAGGTCTCTGAATATAACCTCTCTGCAGCCAAGGTTTTCTGAGGAATACCAGGGACGCTCTCAGATCCTTCCTTCTTGGGGGCAGTTTAAGAAAGAATGAAAAAGAAGAAGGAGAAGAGGAAGAAGAAGAAGAAGAAGAAGAAGAAGAAGAAGAAGAAGAAGAAGAAGAAGAAGAAGAAGAAGAAGAAGAAGGAGAAGAAGAAGAAGAAGAAGAAGAAGAAGAAGAAGAAGAAGAAGAAGAAGAAGAAGAAGAAGAAGAAGAAGAAGGAGAAGAAGAAGAAGAAGAAGAAGGAGGAGAAAAAGAAAAAAGATAAGAAAAGAAGGAATGCACATAATCTCATTTCCCAAGTTAAACAACTGCTGGGTGTTTTTTAAAAGATGCAATAATACTTTTTGAAATAATATAAATCTTAGAGGCAAAACATTTCTCATTTGGTAACATAAAGATTTTGAAACAGAAATTTGAAGAGAACAGAGACCTTCTGACAAAATCAACAGACAAATATGTGCCGGTCTCCTGGTACCCAAAGGAGAAGTGTTGCCATTTTGCTGAGGACAGGGACTCTGGAGGTGGCTTTTTCTGTATCTGCCTTAGGGTAGCTGGAAGGGAGCCAGCACCCAGTAACGCATGCTAAGGTTAATGGGTGACATTTGCCAAGTGCTTGTTACCCATCCTCACAGCCCACCCTGGGGAATAGGCCTGCACTGTTCACCCCAGTGTTATCATCCAGGGAACTGGGGTGGCAGTGATTTGCCCTCTGGTCGTGCCAGGTCTGGAATTTGGGTCACCCGTGAGGATGCCTGTCCCTGTGCCTCACACCCCTTTCTAACTCGGACTAGGTTCCCTCCCACCTGCCAGAGAAGGGAAATGCTGTTCTCTTGTTTAAAAGTGATTCCAGGCCCTGGCCAGTGTAGCTCAGTTGGTTGAGCGAATGTCCCTTGTACCAGAAGGTCGCTGGTTTGATTACGGCCTGGCTCCATACCCTGGTTGCAGGCTCCATCCCCAGTAGGGGGCGTGATTCTCAGCAATGATGTTTCTATCTCTCTTCCTTTTGCATCCTCTCTCTGAAACATATAAAAACCTATTTGAAGAAAGTAGAAGTGATTTTGGGATTCCTGGTGACCTGTGTGATCTGTAGTGCAGGCCGTGTCAAGGTCATGACGGCTTCTGTGATGTCATGTCAGGGACAGATGGCAGGTGTTAAAAAGCAGTGGATGACCCTCAGTTCTTACTGGCCATTTGTGCTTCAGGATTCGATTTTTTATGATTCTTTTTTTGAAAGCAGTGCTTATAGGTGGTCAGGAGGCTACTTCAGCACTCAGGGTGTGAATGGCTCGCCCCAGACAACATTTATGTCAGCCCAGCTGTCCTTGGGGCTGCCATATTGATGGGGGATGTATAAGATTTGAATCTGGTCTAAATGCACGTGTATTTTTGAGTTTAAAAATCCCATTGAAATAAATCTGGGGGCACATACTGATAGTGAGTTATAGAGGTAAAGAAGGCATTTTTCCCGGAAAAAAAAAAAAAAAAGGCTTATACTTTTCTCTTCTCTAAACAGACCAATAGCATGTGTTTTACAATGAAAACGTCCTGTGTACGAAGAAGATTCAGAGAATTTGTGTGGCTGAGGCAGAGACTGCAGAGCAATGCATTGCTGGTGTAAGTGACTTAACGAGTGCATCGAGGACACTTTATTGTTATATTCAGTCTTTAGAACTTTGATTTGCATGAGATGTAAATTATGAGGGATTTCACAGGCATTCTTGATTGTAATGATGGTTTTAGTTTTGTGGTTACGGCATCCGAATTCAACATTATCACTTGAATTCCACCAGCTTTCATGGCTATTGATCATGAAATGCTCAACAACGTTTAAAAATGGGGTTTTCCTTAGGTTAATATTCTCTTATTCTCATCATATAACGACCTATGTAATATACAGTCACTCTGCGGTGATGACTACGCGTAATTTGCTTTCACCGAGGGATTTCTGTCACTAAACCACCTTGATGGGATGATTGTAAACATGTTTGTTTCTTTCTCACTAGACAACTGCCAGAACTTCCGTCTAAAAACCTCTTTTTCAACATGAACAACCGCCAGCATGTGGACCAGCGGCGCCAGGGCCTGGAAGATTTCCTCAGAAAGTAAGTGGGCAGGAAGGGGCTTTGCAGGAGCCGGGCGCCCTGTGATCAGGAAGGGAGCTCAGCACTGTCTCTGAAATCCTCATCATCCGCTCCAGAGCCAACCTCAGCTGTTCATTTCCTGTACCAGAGCGCCACCTTGTGGCCCACCTCTGAGGGTGCATATCAGGGACCACATCTAGAAAGAAAACAATGAACGAATTGAGTCTGGTGTTAAATACAGGGTCCCTTAAGCTGTAACGCAGAGCCAAATTACTTGGGAGTGTAGCTGACAACAGCAAAAAAATTCCTGGACACAGGTGTGCCTTATTAAAAAGGCACTTCTTACAAAACGGTCTTTGTTTACAGCAGTTGGGTTGATGGACAAAGACCCGCTTTCCGGTGGGCTGCTGATGCCTTCTGGGTTCCTCTACTAATGAATGAGTGGTTCACGCCACTCTTTGGAGGGACTGTATGTAAGGGGGTGTCAGATAGTCTCAGTGGCTATTGACTCCAGGTTATGTGGCGATGGGAGATACTGTAGCCAAGGCGACTTAAATTCACACTACCGTAATTTCTTTCCCCCTCTCCCGGCTCCCTTTCTCTCTCTCCCCTCTCCCCCACCACCGGGAAACTGGAATTCCCATCCTATGGGGCAGCACATTGGTTTGCACACAGACTCTGAGGCCAGCCTGCCTGGGTTGAAATCCTGGCTGAGTCACCTATGAGCTGGGAGCTTGGGCCAGTCGTCCCTCCTCTCTGCCTGCGTTTTCCCGTCTGTAAAATGGAGTCCGCGAGAGCACCTGCTTTACAAGATCGCTGAGAGGATTAAGTGAACTCAGGAATGTAAGGCCCTCACAGCGGTCTGGCATATGACACGTGGTATCTGTGTATTGGCCATGGTTTGTTGATGCACATAGAAGTGAGACAGCTTTGAGCTAATTTTGCTAACTTCTTACTCTATAGATAAGGAAATAGGCTGAGCCACGTGCCTACTGGTTAGGGGGCAGAGCCCAGTCACCTGGACTCTTTTTCTACTCGATTCAGGATCTGAAGTCATCTCGTTTTGAGGTCACTGCATGGCACCTCGGAGCCAGCCCGAGATAACATCCTGCCTTCTCTCCAGGTGGCCACTCATAACTGGTGTGGGTGTCATGTATGCCCATGAATATTAATACTTATTTCTATTAGGCTGGTGGGCGGAAGGGGTGGGGTGTGGAGAGTGGTGGGAGTGGCCGGTGTGGCTCAGTGGTTGAGTGTCGAATGAATTAGGAGGTCAAGGCTCAATTCCTGGTCAGGGCATATGCCTGGGTTTCGGACTCGATCCCCAGCGTGGGGCATGCAGCAGGCAGCCCATCAATGATTCTCTCTCATCATTGATGTTTCTCTCTCAATCTCTCTCGCCCTCTCTCACTTCCTCTCTGAAGTCAATACAAATAAAAATACATTAAGGGGAGGGGGGGAGAGCCGGAAAAGAAAAAGAAGCTAGAAGAATGACATGAGATCAGAAGCCCTAGTCCTGAGCGGGGACCTGGGAACATGTTACAGTGAGATTCTGGAGGGCATTGCAGGCCTGAGAGAACAAAGAGCTGGCCCTCCCCTGAGGGGACAGCTCCGGTGTTAATGGCTGTCTGTCTGGGACCCAGGTGGCTGATGGCCGCTCCCTTACGATGGGGCCCCTGCAGCCCACGGTGGCAGAGCGCTGCTCAGGGACCAGCCGGATCCCGCCGCCAGCCCCGGGGAGCTGCGTGTCTCCTGTGACGGGGCTCCTTTGTGAGGTCCCCGGCAGCACGGGGCTCCGTGTGGATGCTGCTGGCTGATCGCAGGGCGCGCGTCTCTGACCGGGAGTCACTTCATTGTTCTGAGCATGACCTGTTCTTCCTCAGTTGATTTTTACCAAAGCAGCGACACTAGTGAGTGTCCTGTGGCTGCAGTGGGATGAGGCTTGCACTGGGTTATTTTTGTGAATTATGTCGTTTGGCTGCTTGTTGACTGAATTTTTTTTTCTTTTTTTAAAAAAATATTTTAATTGATTTCAGAGGGGAAGGGAGAGGGAGAGAGAGAGAGATAGAATCATCAGCGAGCAAAGCGAATCATTGGTCAGCTGCCTCCTCACACGCCCAGCCTGGGGATCGAGCCCACAACCTGGGCCTGGGCCCTGACCGGGAGCCTGGTTCGTAGGTTGACACTCAACTACTGAGCCATGCTGGCCGGCCGGGCCTGTTGACGGAATTTGACGCGGACTTCACAGAACAGAGGGTCTGGGATCCGGAGCTCGGTGAGCTGGGCTCCGGTCTCTCTCGAGTCTTGGCTCCTGGTTGTTTTCTGGCTGCGTGACCGTGGGAGTCACCTCACTCCTCTGAGCCTTGGTTTGCTACCCGGGGCTAACGTGTTACCCGCGCATTGTCCCCCTCACCAGAGGCTGTGTCCTTCCGATGACGCATCCGAGGAAAATCTGCTTAGGTGACTGCTTTGGGCCGGGCTGGGTCCTGGGGATACCGGACCCCGTGAAATGGACACAGTCCTGGTCCTTCCGAAGCTTCCAGGCGAGAGGGGAAGCACCGGGTGTGTATCGGGGGATGGCTGGCTCCATTAAAACTGGATCCTCAGCCAGAAGTGGGATCACAGAGCAGCGCTGAGGTCTCTTGCGATGCCATTTGCTCCACAGTCTCCCGGCTGACGGTGCTTCTGTGAGGTTTGGACCTGAGAAAAGCAAGGAGGCTAGCCCCACATGGTGGCTTCCGGCCTGTCCGCCCCCCCTCCCCCCTTTTCTGTGTTCCTCGGACTCTCTCCTGCTCTTCGCCCGGTGTGTGTAGGTGACAACTGTCCGTTTGTGCCCGTGGTGCCCCTCAGCTACAGCCGCTTCTGGAAACTGGGTCTGACGTGCCCCTTGGCCGCTCGGCGCCGTGTCCCGCCCCCAGCTCAGGTCCGTTACTCTCGGCCCCCTCGATGGCGGCACCTCGTTGTTTGTAGGACGCGTTAGGGAGCCGGGAGGGAAGACGCCCAGCATTAACTAGGAAACATGCCCGTGTGGCCGGTTTACAGCCGGCGTTTAAAAACCTGGCTTTTATGGATGCTTTGAAGTGATGTGCCAAAGGCACGTAACATGTTCAGACCCTTCAGAACCCGAGCTCTGCGGGCGTGTGTGTGTGTGTGTGTGTGTGCGTATGTGTGTGTATGTATGTGTGTATGCACGTGTGTATGTATGTATGTGTATGTGTGTATGTGTATGTGCGTGTGTGTGTGCGTGTGTGTGTGTGTGTGTGTGTACTGTAGCAGCGTTTTCCACTAAAGGTCATTGGAGAAACAATACCTACTTGACAGCAAACTACACACCCAGGTCCGTCTTCATGGGGGAATTAGTGAGTTATCTCTTTCAACGGGCGCCAAAAAAAGAATTTATACCGTTTATCGAACACTTGCTGTATGTATAGCTTTCACGTTTTTATCTCAGTAACGACAATAATATAATTTCCTTGTCTCGATGTTATAGACAAGGAGGTTACAGGAAAGGTGGAGGCACTCTATTCCAGTTCATAGAACTCTTAAAGGCTAAATTCGGTCAGTATGATTGTGAGAGTTTTCATGTATTTAAATTTATTTTTCCTTAATCTTGGCTATAATCTCCCTTTTGGACTCCTCTCCCCCCCCCCCACCCCGATATTTATAAATTGTAAGTCATTTCTATAATAGTTATGGCAAAAATAGACTAAAATGACAAATTCTGTTGGTAAGACTCCACCTGTGACAATGGCACTAGCTTTTCCGTTTGATTGATGTCACAAACGGGAGCAGCCCGCCTGTACTGAATTCACCCCATTCGTCCAAATACAATGGAGGCTTTTGTATTGCAGTTTTGTATTTCTTTAAAATTAAAGGAATATTACAGGTTTTTTTTTTTTTTTTTTTTTTAACCAAAGGATACCATGGAAACACCGTTAGTTACACACACACACACACACACACACACACAGACAGTTATTATGTCGCTGTGTTCAACAGAGGGCACCATAGCATAGTTCATGAATGCCTTCAGTGAAGATTTGTGGGCTTTATTTTTTCTCATGGTGAGAGGTAAACAGGCTGAATTAAAAACATTTCCCCCCTACATCCAGCTGCTCACGTTCCCCGGGCGATACAGAGGGGTAGGTGTGTCAGTGTACTGGGCACAGCAGACGAGGGCACCCTGAGTGGGGGCAGTGTTTGTGCATTACTAATGCATTGTTCTCTGCTGGACCGATACAGAACTCACCTGCTAGAGTCATGGGGAGAAAAACCAGGTTTTCCAGTTGGAGGGAAGAACAGGTTTTGCTTTGTGTAGTTCAATGTTCTGTGGGGAAAGGAGTAACGGTCCACTCATGTTGTAAATAGCTTTTCACAAATTCCTGCAACATCCTGGAGGCCATTTTTCTTCCTTTTGTAAAGGCCCGAGCAGTGCATACATGTATTTTTATGGAGGCTTACAACGATGACATGTTATTGACCGTTTTACAAAGTACCCTTTGTATTAAGTTTGAAGTTGATTTACTGCAATTCGATTTGTTTGTGGAGAATGCGGCGCAAATATGACTAAGGTGAAAATAGGATTTAATATGTGGTGATGGCAGTCACAACGCTCGCTGATACATACTAAGCCAGATGCAACGTTAAATGAACCAGTCATGCTCTCCGAACCGGAGAGAGAGGGGTGGGGAGGGGGGCAGCAGGAGGACACTCTCCACTGTTTGTGTTTTTAATTTTGGAAGGAAATATATGACTAAAGGTAAAAATCACAAATATATTAACATTTATTTTTTGCATGTTTAAGACTCATCCCCGGGGAGCACAGTGGCATACGGCTAGCCAGTCAGGCCGAGGGGATGAAAAAACCCAGAGGTGGTAGCAGATGTACCGATGTTGGGGTTCCCTCCCCAGCCACACGCTTCTCTCCCTTTCAGAAGGGAGAGCTGGGCGTGCCCGCTCCCTCTCGCCGTCCCCGGCGTGTCCTCCAGATGGCAGCCTCCTGCAGGAAACTCGGGCGAGTAATGAGTCTAATGTACAGTAAAATTGGAAATTGAATTATAGCTCAAGGAAAAAAGACAGTAGCCTTGAGGTCCCGACGAACCCGGGCCCTGATCCCTTTGGTTTGCTGCGCCCACGTGTTAGGTTATGGGTGAGTTAATAACCGCGCCAGCGCCGTTCAAGGCTCAGCAGAATTGCTCTGGACATGAAATAAAGCTAAAATGAATTTGTGTCCAATATCATTGGCATTAGTGCTCATTACTTTTGCGGGGTAATGCCGTGAACCATCCAAAACCAATTGTAGAGATTACCTATTATTTTATAAAGAAAATAAAACACATTTCCACCAGAAACAAAGCAGTCTGTTCAGACCTCCCAGGGAATTCAGGCTCCTGTCAGGGGATCCAGCCATCCACCTGGCCTCCGGAACGCAGCGTTTAAGACAAGAGGGCAAACCTCTTAAAGGTGGGAACCCTCTGAGAACAGGAAGAGGCGTTTGCCACCTTCCTGCCTGTCCTTGGTAAATGAATCTTCCTCATGCGATATGGAGGGAGAGGCAGGGTTAGCTGCTTCCCTGCCCGAGTTTTTGCCTTTTAAAAATCGCAGCTGTGCCGAAACCGGTGTGGCTCAGTGGATAGAGCGTTGGTCTGCGGACTGCAGGGTCCCAGGTTCGATTCCGGTCAAGGGCATGTACCTTGGTTGCGGTACATCCCCGGTGGGGGGTGTGTGGGAGGCGGCTGGTGGATGTTTCTCTCTCCTCGATGTTTCTAGCTCTCTATCCCTCTCTCTTCCTCTCTGTAAAAAAAATCAATAAGATATATTTAAATAAAATAAAATAAAAATCGCAGCTGTTTTACCTTTTCTTCCTCCCCGTCAGTAAAGAGGATTTCCTTAAACTGCATTGGTAAGCCTGCTACAGCCCTATGCCTTTCTAGATGTTGGCCTTCTTGCAAAAAAGAATTGTTTCCTTTTTCAGGAAAGGAAATAGTCTAATGTTCTTGGACTTTATTTATTTTATTTTTTTAAAATATATTTTATTGATTTTATACAGAGAGGAATTGAGAGAGTCAGAGAGTTAGAAACATCGTTGAGAGAGAATCATCAATCAGCTGCCTCTTGCACACCCCCTACTGGGGATGCGCCCGCAACCAAGGTACATGCCCTTGACCCGAATCGAACCCGGGATCCTTCAGTCCGCAGGCCAATGCTCTATCCGCTGAGCCAAACTGTTCCCAGCTGTTCTTGGACTTTAAATGAAAGGCCTATGACCAAGAGAGATGTGGTTTTTCTAGAAACTTGTTAAAAAAAGGCATGTCTGAACAATCCCTTCTTGGCCAAAATATTACTCAGGGTTTAGTGTTTTAGTTTCGGCTGCTACCACTGGTGTTAATAAGGCATCATGATGCCGCCACTGAACTAGGAACAGAGACAAAGTTATACTTAAAAGTCTGTGCTAAGAAGTTAAAAAACAGTTTTCATTTACACGCGGGGGTGTCCTTTGGCAGAGAAAACGCGTTCACCGATGATGTGAACCTGGGCGTGTGTAGATTGGGCCACGGCCGGTGTTTGCTCCCCTCTGCCGTTCTGAGGGACTAGTTGAAATCTGTACCCTCTTTGTTTCACTGAAGGCTTTGGAGAAATTTTTAGTCAGCCTTAGGTATTTTTTTTTTTTTTTTTTTAAAAAGAGCCGCTCTCCACCGAGCCCTTGTAAACTTGCACAGAAGCAAAGCTGTGTTTTTCCAACAAAGAGATGACTTTTTAATAGAACGTTTAATGGCAGTTGAAAGTTTTGATGTGTCCTGGCAGCCTCGCCCATAAAGATCACAGGATGGACACGCCGGCTGGCAGTAAAAAAAAAACCAAAAACAGATTTCAAGCGGAGTACATTTCTATGACTCCATAAGCAAAATATTTCCGTAATTAATCCACATGGCCGTAACAGATGGTTCCAGGGAAGACGTGTCCTTGAACTTATTCTTTCAACAGATGTTCCTCACCATCAGCTTCGTGCTTTTACTCACCTAAATTCCCAAGTAATTGAATCGAAGGTAACATATGCTTACATCCCTTTCATGGGCAGAGAGCGTCATGGATGCAACGTTTGCCACGTCGGGCTGACTTCGGTGGCCGGCTTGGGATGCGCTGCTCTCTCTCCCGCCCTGTGGCGGTGCAGGCCCGTTCGCCCGTGACCTCTCCCTTTCCCCTGACACAGGGTCCTCCACAATGCGCTCCTGCTGTCCGACAGCAGCCTGCACCTCTTCCTGCAGAGCCACCTGAACGCCGACGACATTGAGGCGTGCGTTTCGGGGCAGACCAAGTACACCGTGGAGGAGGCCATCCACAAGTTCGCCCTGATGTACAGACGCTTCCCCGAGGAAAAGGAAGACGGAGAACAAGAAAACAGCACAGATTATGGCTCAGAAAGGTACTTCCTCGCGTTCCCACGTGACACCCCGCGCATTTACAGAACACGCAGCGCGCACAGGCATGTGCAGGGGGTGTCGACGCACACTCGCCTTCTTCTTTGTTGATGCAATCCTCAGATAATGAAAAAATTAATTGACTGAGATTTTATTGAGTTGTGACAGCTCATCATCGGAGTCCTCACACACACCTCCACGCCGAATTAATGGATGCAGTAGAAATTCAATTATCTGCATTCTGATTATGTGACTTTCATTTAGTCAGACTTGAATTATTCGCGTTTAAATTATCTAGCTAAAAAAATATCCAACTGCACTCCAAATGGCTAATTAAAAGTCCAAATTTCCTGTCTCTCTTTGTGACTGGAGATAATTAAAGTTCTCCTCTGTTACTCAGGCTTTGAGTGTGTTGTGAAAACCAATTTCCTCTTTTTATTATTTTTTTCTCCCCCTCTCTTCCAGTTCGTCCTCCGGGTTTGGACACAGCAGCCAAGACAGCAGCTCACATGGGTGTAAAATGAGCACAGCCCCGCAGGATTCCTGAAAAAAAAAGAATTCTAACGTGACCATCTTAGGAATAGCAAATTATGTCCAGTCCCAGAGGAGAAAGCAGTGGATATATCTTTTACCTAAAGCTCACTGTCACGATATGAGGCACTTACATTCTCCAAGACGTTGGGTTGTTTATCCATGCTGTTTTCCTGTTGTCTTATTTCGGCTACGCTTCCGTCTAACGCTGAAGGCCTGCGATTACAACACTCTCCTTGGTAAGCCAACGTTATTGCTAACACAAGATCCTGCCCTCCAAGGAGGTGTATAGGTTTAAAAAAAAAACACAAACACAACACAAAAAAACCTGGTTGGTTTTGCTGAATTTGAAAAGAGAGGTCAATAGTTGGCATTTCAAATCCAGACAGAGGGTTCCTTTTTGCATCAGCGGGGCAGTGTTATTGTCCACACAGCATGGATGAACTCCGCCACTCTGCAGACTGACAGCCGAGGCCAGACGGCCTCCGCTCAGACATGTGGCTGATATTTTGCGAGTCCCTCCCCCGCCCTGGGAAGGCACTTTGCTTTTGGGTGTTTGAAACCCTGGGAGAGAGTTTAACCTTTCCGGTATGCTCTCTCACATGGAGACGGGGAAGGTATCTTAGGAACAAGAGACACGCTAAAATGATGTTTACATCCCAGACAAGACAGAAACACAGCCAGTGGCTTCGCTGATACCTGCCATATGTAGATTAAGAAACACAGTTTCATTGTCCAAAAGTCAGCGTTCACACATGGTTTCTGGAGACAGAGCATTTGTTTTCATTATCATCGTGCAATTAGAATTACAGGTTAATGATTTATTCTCTGACCAAATAGGCCGTTTCCTCTCGCTAGATAACGTTCTCAGTGGTGGTGACGTGTTACTTATCTTTAGGCTCTTAGACAAATAAGTTTAATGTTATCAGTAAGTATTCCCACAGTTTAGAAAAGGATATAAAATTTATTTATTTAAAAGCTCTTTCTTTTTAGGTAGCTTCCAGAGAATTGGTATAACTTAAAATAATTCAATAAAATATTTTTTTAAAATGACCCAAAGAGAAAACGTCTTAAACCACATTGAACTTCAAATTTCAAACGAGACAGCATTTTCTTGAGACAATTACCCAGGCGTCTTTCCTGCTGAATGGTACAAAATATCTCCGAAACTAACAGGAAGATATTTTTACGTAACTGGGATAACTTGTTGCTTTAATTAAATGTGACCTCACCTCATTTTAACTAGGAGTTTAAAAGTTACTGTATCATTAAAAAGTCTTTGAAATGCTTGTAACCAAGAAGCAATAGGAAAAAAAATTAAATTTAGAATAAGAATGATTCCATACTTTCTCCTTTTTTTGTTTTTGTTTGGTCTAAAACATTATTGAACGTATGTAAACATTCTGATTTAATGGATTGGGTCTTGTTACTTTATCAGCGAGGACTCATTATTTTAATACAGAAAAAAAGAGGGTTAGCAGTTTCTTTTTACCTTGCCAACGTGTAAAGTTTACCATCCCCGTCATTTAAGAGCGGGCCCCAGCTCCTTGGCGATATGTATTTGAATCACATTATTTCTGTTTTTCAGCTATTTGGAAAAGGATGTATATATGCTACCAATTGTCCTATTATTTTTAGATGATGTAAACAGCCATCACAATGGATATTAAGTAATGCCTGAGACTGTGGTATGCAAAACTTCACGAGATCACTGTTTTCACATTAAACATGAAAAAAAAAAAAATCAACTTCATTGTGTTGGCTCACTTGTTTCATAAGAGAATGCATTTCTCCTGACTTGGACCTAAATTCCGTGTGTTTTTGAATGACCGCTACATTTTTTTTATGAAGAAGTTCGGTAAAGTTTGCTTTCACATTCACTCTCATATGCATTTGAGCTTTGGTTTGTTTGTTGTTTTTGCATCTAAGCACCATTAACGCTGATTCTCAGCAGCTGAAATATTTAGGTAACTTCATATGGCTTGCTGGCTTAGTTCGAATCTCTTCTTTTCCTCTGGCATATTTTTATAAAGCTTTCTTTCGGAAAAGAAAATGATTACTTAAGTAACTAAACTAAATAGATGTTTATTTAAAACTATTTCTAATGTAACTTAAACTTAAAAAAATTCTAATCCTGGGTGATTTATGATGTATATACATTAACACTGTATTCCCCTGCCTCATTCTGTAAGTGTAAACTGTTCACCTATAAAGCCGGTGTATGTGTTTTGTTTGGGGACTGGTTGTTCACATCACCCGAAGGGGTCAGCAGTGAAAGCCAACACCTGTTACTACTCACAGCTTCTTTTAAAGATGCACTTGGAAGAAAGTGATTTAAATTTCAGTTCACATTTCAAGTTTTAAAAATTACTGAGGAAAGACAGAGATGTTTCAGTAGTGATATTAAATATCGTGCAGGAGCTTTTCAAGCCTCGTTCACATTTTATTGAATAATTAAATACAAACAAGTGATATGCAATAACCTTAAAATCTCTTTTATGGCCATTAAGAATTTAAACAAATTCATTTAGCCTAGCCACAATTACTGTTATATCCAACAGTAAATTGAATGTTGTTTTGAACTCAATTTATGTTTTATTTTTGGAGCCTTAAGGAGTCATCATTAGTGAGCTACTGTAGTAGGAATAAGGGGTTCAGTACTCCAGCTTTCAAGGAACAATGCCTTTCACAAAAGGCCTCAAAAATCTTAAGACAAAAATAACAAAACAAAAGCTTATTCTGTTTCAAAACAGTTTTCCTCTCAATGTTTAAATTCCTTAGTTGGTACCCTATGAAATGCAATGCTGCATCTTCTTAACGGAGGAAACAATCCCCAAAACAATTTTCTGCTTTTGTTTGGAATACAGACCGTTCGTTACTTTATTATATACAGAAACACATTTTCAGTGACAAAATGCTTTCTGAGGTTCGCTATTGCAACTTGACATTCAAAGCACAGATACAATTTTCTTTGCAAAGAAAGGTCATAAGAAACGAACACGTTTTAACAGAGAGGAGCCCAGACATTTTAGAAGAATGTAAAGGAGCAACAACAGTCCCTTGAACGTTTGAAATATATTTACAAAGGACCTTGGCTCTGTTCTTGGCCGTATGCATCTCAAAACGAGTCACCCTTGTCCCTTTAAGTCAGACACAACTGCTCCTCAGTCTGGCTGGAAACTTCCTAGATCCGTTAGGAGCAGTGCACTGGCCACTCGTTTTATTTTAGCTGCGAAAACTCTAGGGTAGCTCAGGACGCGTTTCTTTTGCTCCAAAATTCCAAAGACTTATTTTCAAAGGATATACAGAAGAAAAGAGGGGGGAAGGGGAAATCAAGCTACAGTTTCCGCTGGATCTAAGGACACTATGCAAATGACTGATACTAAAGAGGAAAGAAAATACCCTTCCTTTCTCCCCACCGGCGAGTGTGGATCCCTCCAAACCCCCTCCCGCTCCTCTTTGCTGCCGGAGGCACCGCTCGGGCATCACTTGCGGCGGTGTTTTTGCAAGTTTCTTACCTCCGGGCCTTCTTTACGGCTCGGCCCCCGCCCGCCGGGGAGCGCTCCCGCCGCTGCCCCGCCGCCCGTTGGCTGCGCCCCGCGCCGCCCCGCACACGCGCGCTCCCGCCGCCTCTCCCTCCCTCCCAGCGGCTCCGCCGGCGGCCTCGGCCCGGTAACCCATGGCAACCGCCCTGGTAACCCATAGCAACTGCGCTGCAGAAAGAAAGGGGGGAAAAACACAAACCCCGGGTGGAGGGGGAGGCGGGCGGGGAGTCGGAACGACAACCGCAAAGAGGCGGCGGTTTGCAGCGCAGCCCGCAGCGCCCCCCGCCCTCCCGCCGGCTGCCGCGGGTCCCTCCCGCAGAGGACAGCCCGCGGCCGGGCGGAGCGGGAAGAACGCACCGAGGGGCGGGGGGCGGGGGCGGGGGCGGCTGCGGGGCTGCGGGGCAGCGGTGCGGGCGATGGCCCTGGGCGGCCGGAGCGTGGTCCCCGGCCCGGCTGGGTTACCGCGCGCGCAGGGCCGCCCGGACGGGTGGGTCCGGCTCCGGGTGGAGTGGGCGATGGGGAGGGAGGGAGAGGTGGTGTCGGGCTGGCCCGAGTCTTTGTTCTGCAGATGCCACGGGCCGGGCCCCGCCGCCCGGCCCAGAGGTTGGGTGTGGGTGTGGGTGTGGGTGTGGGTGTGGGCGCGGCTGAGGCCGCAGGGTCCCCGCAGGGTCCCCGCAGGGCCCCGGGGTGGCGGCGGGGCTGGACGGAACCCACATGTGTTCTATGCGCAGCACCGTCCCCTCAGTTACCCGGCTCTCCGGTGCTCTCCCGGGGCCCCACAGCCTGCAGGCAGGGAGGCCCTGCCGGCCGCTTTACCCCGCTCCCCCCGAGGAGACCAGCGCCGCAGCCCACGAAGCCCGGCCTTCAACTGGGATGGTCGCTCCGGAGAGCAGAGACGCGGCCGCGGCGGGGGGTGCAAGGCGGCGGCAGGACAGAGGAGGGCGCTGCGGGCCGGCTGCCGAGCAGGAGCCCATGGGGCTGCTCCCGTCTGCGCGGTGCAGGCTCCCAGCTCCCAGCAGAAAGGACGCCCCTTAGATCTGCCTTTGCGCTCGCGGGCATCACCTGCTGGCTGTGAGTTCTCATCTGCTGGCTGTGTGTTCTCATCTGCTGGCTGTGTGTTCTCACCTGCTGGCTGTGTGTTCTCATCTGCTGGCTGTGTGTCCGCAGAAGCCCAGCCCGCAGTGAGAGGACGGCCACACGCTGGCCCTGGTCCCAGGTCACACAGAGACCTAAGAACATAAGCCACCCACAAGGCAGTGCACCGAGGTGAGGAGAGGCTGCTCCAGGGACCTGGGAGCCTGTGGTGGAGGTCCCCCCTGGCTCCCACTGGCTGTGACTTCCAAGCGCACTGTGACGTTTTAAAAAGGAAAAGGCTTGGCCTGGGTCGTTATGAAGACCTTGGAGATCGTAATCCTCCACTCTTCTCCTGTAGGTGGGCACCAGTCACCAATCCACATAGCAGCGCCTCCTT